TTCCCTTCCTCCGAAATCAATAATAAAAGGCATATAATAAATGTGAAGAAATGCAGGAAAGTGACATAGTATTAAAAAAAAAGGCAACACTGAATATTTTTAAAGAATAAATGTGGGCAGCCTAACAGGTGTAATTGATGTTTCTTTCTCCCTCTGTCTTTCTCTCTCTAAAAGCAATAAAAACGTACTTTAAAAAACACACGAGTAAATGTGGACAATATCACAATATCCAAAACGTGGGAAAAACCCAAATGTCCATCAAATGAATGAATGGATAAACAAAATGTGGTATTATCCAGACAATGGAATATTATTCAGCCATAAAAATATTGATACATGCTACCACACAACCTTGAAAATATGTTAAATGAAACAAGCTGGGCACAAAAGGGCACACACCCAATGACTCCATTTAAATGAAATATCCAAAATAGGGAAATTCAGTGACAGAAAGCAGATTACTGGTTGCAGGGGCTGCAGGAAAGAGGAAATGAGGACTGCCTATTTAATATGTACAGGGCTTCCTTCTGTGGTGATAAAAAAGTTCTTGAACTAAATAGTGGTAATGTTTCCATAACATTATGAAATGTACTAAATGTCAATAATGGCAAATTTTATGTTATATATATTTTACCACAATGAAAATGTGCCTTAAATAAAAAGTCTACCATCTTACAAAAGCTTTTCTTCAATCCTGTCATTTTATCCAGCTACCTACTGTCCTCTTCCTAAATCCATCAGTCACCTAGCCGATTGATGCAAGCTCTGATAACTTTCAACTCTGTCCACCCTAACTGCTATAACCTAGTTCACCTCCCATCATTCTTCACTGTATAATTATTTAGCTAAAGTCTCTTACTGCTCTACCTTTTTCTAACTTGTTTTTCTCCAATCCATTCTTCTCATTGCACGGATTTTCTCAGATACAGACTTCAATGTATTTTCTCCTTAAAATCTATTCATTATTTCCCAAAATTCCGACTCTTTTAACAAAATTGCTCAATATCCTAATGATCTTGTCTCATTTCACCTCTTATTTGTACCTTACAGTGTTTGCTACAGGCATTCTTTTAATACCTCCAGCATGCTACACAGGACTTGCTTTCTCTTGTCTCCTGGACTTAAGTACAATTTTTGCCCTTTCCTTACCATATTTCATCCTTCTGTGCTTGGTCTAGATGCCACTTTCTCAGAAAAGCCTTCCCTAATGTCCTCAACCAGAGTTAGATACTCCCTTGAGGTACTCCTATATTTTTCCCCATAATGGGCACTTCTCATTTTGAATGCCTTAAATGCATCTGAATTGCTTATTTAGCCATTTCTCCCATGAGGCTTACACTTTGTGAGTCAAGAGACCATGTCCATCTTTTTCATAGTTGTATCCATACTGCCTACCACACCTCGTAGTACATATTAGGTACTCAACAAGTATGTGCTAAATGAATAAAAGGAATATGCACATAGTAAACATATAATCTATTCTTAAAATCTAATTATACATACAAATTTTATATGTTGCTTTGTTCACCTGACACTTTAAATGTTTTCCCTTTGTCATAAGATACCCTGGTTTGTGTGTGTGTGTGTGTGTGTTTTTTACAAGTTTTTATCAGCTACATAATATTCCATGGAATGGAACTATTATATTTTAATCACTTGCTCACCAATGGATAGACCTTTTCCCCCCTACATTTCCGTTAATATAAAATAACGGAAACATGGGGGAAATTCAGTGACTGTTGTGCCCAATCTTGGTCTGAATTTCTAAATAATTCCTTGGGATAGAGTCATAAAACTTAAAAAAAGTTGGTCACAGATTTTAATTTTGAAAATATTACCGATTATACACATAATGCCTGTTATTATAGAAAAATTGGAAAATGTAAGAAAGAGTATAGAGCATTCCACCACTTGGCAATGATTAACATTTTTGCAAATTTGTTTTCATTCATCTTAATTTTAATGTTTAACAGAAATGGCATTATGTTGTTCATTGTGCTCTGGTTCCCTACATATTATAAGCCTTCCCCTATGTCACACTATGTATTTTTCAAAAATATGCTTTAATGTCTACAATATATCATTGTACCATAATTTATTTATCCATTCCCCTAATGCTGGGCAGTTAGTTTTTTTTGCTTCTAATTTTTAGTACTAAGAAACAATGCTGAAATAAACAGTCTTGAGGCATTACAGCAGAGTGGTCACGGGTATGAGCTCTGGATTCAAACTGCTTAGATCTAAGTTCTAACTATGCTTCTACTTCCTGTGTGAACTTGATCAAGTTACACTGTGAGATTTAAATAAAAATGAGAAATTTAAATGAATATGACTTCCTTTAATAAAAATGAGATAAGTTCTAATTTAAGTGTGAAGAAAAACATTTTTTAAATGAGAAAAATCTCTCTTCTTAAATTTCTACTTGTATTACTTAAACTCATGTTTACTCCTTTATTTTCTCACAAGCTGTAAGCACAAAGCTCCAACGTACCTCTTGAATGGCTGTCATGACAACATGTTGAACAGATTCTTCCATCATCATAATGGCCTGGATGTACTCTGAAAACAAGAACAATCTGGAATGTCACTGTTCAAGTTAAAGAGAGTCAAGGGAGCAAAGACTAACCACGAATTCTTATAAGGAGTTGCCAGTGTTTCGATTCTTCCTAGGCATTCCTCATATGACTGCACATATGTGCCATATGTAAAGGCTGCAAATCACAGTATTTATCTTTCCTTAATGTCACCCAAATCCATCCCCAACCATTCCTTATAAAGTTCAGGCTACAGCTAATGGTCACAGGAATGCAGGATTGCTAGGCATGTAAAGCAATGAAATGGTAAACCCTAAAGCTGGGGTGGAAAAAACTACATATTACTGTTCTTAAAAATTATCTTACTTTCACATTATTCTTTGCTACATGTTAAAAAAAAACCTTTGAAGTCTGTGCTTTATTCTTATGTGACATAAAAGCACTGAACTGTGTGTAATTCCAACAATATTTTGTACTATAGGAAAGAAAAATCTTAATGGACCTGAAAGCTGCTTAGGAGAAAGATTAAGATGAATTTAACATAGAAACTGATACCACAGGTAAACAAATATTGAATAACTCTGAGCTTTAAAAAATAATGATTCACATCTCTAACAAACTCAAGCACCAACTTCATCAATCTTCCCCTTAACATTGCTAGAAAAGAGAAGGATCTCTTAGCTCAGTAGTGACAAAATTGGGGGAAAACAATGGCTTGCCTTCTTAAAAAGCCCTGAAAGTAGTTTTTATTATTTTCAAACCCAACAATGGATGACAAAAGTGACATTAAATATAAAAAAAATTAATAGGCCAGCTAGATTCCAATAAAAATGGTAAATATGTTTTAACTAGCGGCCCAGTGCACAAAATTTGTGCCCTCTCACAGTCTGGAAGCCCTTAGGGGATGTCCGACTGACGGCTTAGGCCCGTTCCCCACAGGGAGCAGGCCTAAGCCAGCAGTCGGACATCCTTAACGGCGGAGGCAGGAGAGGCTTCTGCCACCGCCACTGTGCTCGCCAGCCGTGAGCCCAGCTCAGGGCTTCTGGCTGAGTGGTGCTCTTCCTGTGGGAGTGCACTGTCCACCAGGGGGCAGCTCCTGTGTTGAGCGTCTGCTCCCTGGCGGTCAGTGTGCGTCATAGCAACCAGTTGTTTGGTCGATTTGCATATTAGCCTTGTATTATCCTATATAATAAAAGCCTAATATGCTAAGTGTCCAATCATCCGGTGACCAGTCGACTATTCAACCAACCAAAGCGTAATATGCTAATGATATGCTAAGGTTGCTCAACCGCTCACTATGACAATGCACTGACCACCAGGGTTAAGACGCTCCGACCAGTAGGTCAGCTTGCCACTGAGGTCTGGCCGAGATGGGGCCGGACACACCCTGGAGCCCTCCCACAGTCCCTCCCTGGCCTGATCGTGCATTGGTGGGGTCCCTCGGCCTGGCCTGCACCCTCTTGCAATCCAGGACCCCTTGAAGGATGTTGGAGAGCCAGTTTCGGCCCAATTCCGCAGGCCACTCCCCTCAGGAGGGCGCAAGATGCAGGGCTCATGACTGGCGAGTGCTGCTGTTGCGGTGGCGGCGCACAAGCCTCTTCCAGTCAGGACTGATTGGGTGTGAGCCCACAGCAGGCGTAGTGGGGCTGGGATGAGCGGGAGCGGCAGGTAGGAGCTGCAGGCGGCATTGGACTGTGGGTTTTGCGCGATCCCCACAGGCCACCCCAAGGGACCCCACCCGTGCACCACAGGCCTCTAGTATCAGATAAGAAACATTTAGAAGGGCAAAATAATTAGGAAATTTTAGCATCATCCTGCCACACATATAAAAACAAACACAAAAACTTGTCTCAGCACTCCAAGTGTTATCTGAAGGAGTCTTACTGTGAAATTGTTAAATTGTTCTGTCTCTTTTGCCAAGAGACATATGTCTTTGGAATACCAGACTGTAATCCTTTGCTTGACAGGTAACTTGTTAAAAAGAAAAAAGTATTTTGATAGTACTATTGTACTATTAAAGTATGACATTCTGACATTCTGTTTCTGAATGCCAAAGATTTTAATCAAAAACATGTTTTTAAGGAAGTACTGTCCTAAGTACACTGTATACCCAATCAATGTGTGGTTAAACACAAATATACACAACACACTTAAATCACAGGCATTGTTCTTAGGCCAACAACAGGACCATATCATAACTTAAAGTACTATTCAGTAAACAACAAACAAAACCAAGCCTTTCGTCCAAGTTTAACTTTTTGTTTTGTTAATGAGGAGCACCCCCTGGGTGTTGAAATGCAAGGGAGTGCTTTTAGGTACTCTGTTCCAACGTACCAAACACAGGATTCCAAGCCTACTGCAGAAAACAGCATAACCAGAATGACTAAAACAACCTTCAAAATAAAAGACTGAGAACATGGAAGAGAAGAAGCAGTGGCACTGATAATGGGGAAGGAAAACTTAATGACAGCCTCGTGGGAGTGAGGACAGTGACAGAACAGGGAGGTTAGGAAGTTATTAGTAAGGTGTGAGAGGGGAAGCGTTAGTTAAGAAGCGGTGTTGCCACGTCAAGGCCCTTCCCCGCGAACACCGTAAAATGCTAAATGATAAAATGATGATGAGAACTACATTAATGTACAATTTTTGGAACATAAAAATATAATGTAGAAGTCTTAGAAGTCCAAATACAAGTATGTATGATTTCTGGGTGCAGAGCTCTGAGACTATGCTGAGGAATGAGGTGTGCTGTATCAGGAGTTGATCCTGAAAACTTATCTTTTTGGTCCAAAATTTACAGTACAGTTTAATGGAAGAGTACTAAGTTCGAATGTGGGAGAGATAGGGTTTTTTGTCCTTGCCTAGCCTCTTACAAACCCAAAATCTTGGGTAAGTCATGTAACACTTATGAGTCTGAGTTTCCTAATCTGTAAAAAGTAATTTTTTGTTCTGTTAGTGTCTGGTAGAGTACCAACCAGAAAGGAGACGCTCAGTAAATATTATTAGTGTTTTTTCTACTACTAATCTTTGCTTCTTCAAATTTACCACCACTTATTTGTTCCAATTTGAGAAGTCAGATAGTTATTTCAATGTTCTGACCAATTGTTCCTTACTTCTAACTGAAGAAACCATCTTAAAGCCCTGATATTTAATTTTGTTTTATAAAAAAATATTTTTATTTATTTCAGAGAGGAAGGGAGAGGGAGAGCAACACAGAAACATCAATGATGACAGAGAATTACTGATTGGCTGCCTCCTACACACCCCACACTGGGGATTGAGCCCACAACCTGGGCATGTGCCCTGACCGGGAATCGAACTATGACCTCCAGGTTCATAGGTCGATGCTCAACCATTGAGCCACACCGGGTGGGTCAAATCCCTGATTTCTTGTATAGTGCTTTATGGATTATAAAGCAAATACACACACACAACATCACACACTCCTCATGACCATCAGGTTCTGTATGCTCACTCTGTAGATGGGGGAACATTTGGCTGAATGTCCTATCTGATGTTGATCATGTGGTAAATGGCAGAGTCACTTTAGTAAGCCTTATGTTAATGTCATAAATGTACAGTTACATATTACCAAGTAATATGTAATAATTCAAAAATCCATTTAATTCAATTCTTAGCTCTCAACTGTGTTCCAGAGAGCAGAGAATGACCTCCGGATAAGTGAGATGTTAAAATCCTCTTCAAAGTTTTCATCATTTATATATAATTTCAGGGGAAAACTGAAACTAGGTTTTAAACAGAACACTTGATCTGTGTGACAAGCTCAATAAATATAATTGTCTTCTTTTCCATAGGACTATGCATATAGTAACATCCTTGCCTTTTCCTAATCTTTCCCTCTAATAAATACAATTAGCCAAGTCGTTAATAGCTACATACTTCAAAGGACCCTTACTTATGTATTAAAGATAATCCCAAGAGTTGATTAATCTCCTTATAGAATCCTATATAATAAAAGGCTAATATGCAAATTGTCCCCTGGACCGGGAGTTCGACCAGGAGCCAGCCAGTCAACTGCCTGTGGCCCCAACCGCCCGGCCAGCCCAGCCCCCAATTGCCCCCACAGACTGATCGGGGGTGGGGCCAGCCGACCACCCTCCCATGTCCCCACACCCCTGCCAGCTGGGCACGATCAGCCCAATCGGGGCAGGCCAGCCGGACCCCACCCATGCATGAATTCGTGCACAGAGCCTCTAGTAAATATATAATCTATTATCTGAATTTAATCAACTACATTAAATAACTTTTCATCCACCTTTTAAAATCAAAGCATCTGCTTATTTAGTATGTATTTAATCTTAGTATTTATACTAATCTTCTAATCTTTGACAAAAATTTGTTAGATATTTCAGTAATATACAAAAAACAAAATGTAGCCCTAACTGGTTTGGCTCAGTGGATAGAGCGTTGGTCTGCGGACTCAAGGGTCCCAGGTTTGATTCCGGTCAAGGGCATGTACCTTGGTTACGGGCACATCCCCAGTGGGGAGTGTGCAGGAGGCAGCTGATCGATATTTCTCTCTCATAGATGTTTCTCTCTATCCCTCTCCCTTCCTTTCTGTAAAAATCAATAAAATATATTAAAAAACTAAAAAACACAAAATGTAGAAAATTCTCTATTTTAATTCTTAAGTTAAACTAAATAAACAACTAAAATTTCCAGTAAGAGCATGGCTGCTAAAACCAAAAAAGAATGGGGCTAGAGCGAAATAAATACATTATTAAAAAAAATTCCTGAATCAGAAACCAATAAAACAATGTTGACAGTTATTAAACTTAGAACTAGAACACCAAAAATTAGTACAGGCAGCAAGTTAGTAAAAATTTGTTTTGTATCACCAGAGGTGAGTATGACAAAGAAGAAATACCTTGGGCTCAAAAAAAAATCCATCTTCTTCAAGGGTCATATAAATAGCAGTAAAATACTGTCATCATTTAGAATAGTCCCTGAATACTTTTATCCTGCTTCATTTCATCTCCCTTTACCCTCCTCAGTATTCTCTAATTATTTTGTCTTTTCAATCCCTCAAAGGTAACACAGGTCTTCCTGACATTCAGTTTCTACTATTCAGAGTACTCTTAACCCATATTCTCCATATCTTTGCTTAAATAACTTCCCTGACCCCCTTATAGCACTCACCACTATCAGATTACCTCATTTTGGTGGCATTATTTATTGCCCTCCACCTCCGCTCAAGTATAAGTTCCCTGAGGAAGGTATCATGCCTGCTTTGTCTGATACTGTGTTCCTAGCCCCAGCACAATGCATGAATTCAGCAAATATTTGTGAAATAAATCCTTCGTACTTGCAAACTAAAATATCTAATTTTAAGTCCCAAGAGCTGAACTGATTCAGTATATCATTATTATCTACACTTGAGGCTCAGCGCACAAAATGTGTGTGCAGGTACGGTCCTTAGGCCTGACCTATGATCAGGGCCATCTTCCCCAGCTGCCCACAGCTGGCCCCACCCCCCACTGTCACTCACCCCCAGCTTCCCTTTCGCCATCGGGTGACTGGTGCCTGACAGCCAAGGGAAGGGACTGAGAGGTCGGCTGTTCCCACCTGCTCGAAGGCAGGTGGCCACGGGTCGCCACCCTGTGTGTGTGGGGCGACCGGCTGGGCGGGGGCCTTGGCCTGGCACTGCCCGCATCCCCCGCCACCCACCCCTGTTCCCTGTTCGACATCAGGCGATCAGAGCCTGCCGGCTGGGAAAAGAACCAAGAGGTGGTCAATGCACCTCAATAGTGACTGGTCCAGCGGTCGTTCTGGTTGTTCCGACTTTAGGGTCAATTTCCATATTACCCTTTTATTATATAAGAATAGAGGCCTGGTGCATGGGTGGGGACCGGCTGGCCTGCCCTGATTTGGGCCCCGGATCCAGGTGGGAGGTCCCTGCTGGGGTGGGGGGGCGCGGGGCGAGGCTGGCGGTTTGCAGGCCAGCCCGGCCTCGCCCCCATGGGGTGAGGGTCCCCGCTGGGGGCAGGGCTGGCCTTGGCAAGGGGCCGTGGGTGGTTTGCAAGCCGGCCACGCCCCCATCGGGATGGGGGTTATCTGGTTTTGGGATTAGGGTAATGCTGGCTCTGTAAAAAGAGCTTGGGAGGTTGGAATAGAAGGATGCCAGCGGATTGCAGGCCAGCCACACCCCCATCAGGGTGGGGGTCTTCACTGGGGGCAAGGCCGGCCTGGGCATGGGGCCTCAGTGTTCTGGTCTCTGGTCTTTCTGGTCGTGATGAAGTTAAGGTCATTGGCCTTTTATATACATAAGAAGATTAGTTCATTAAATGATTTAGCTGGACCTTATCCAATTAAGAGTAAATTTCATCACATTTAGTATAGTTAAAAATAATCTAGTCAAAGTCTTATAAGAAGGAGAAGAATATCATCACAATCAAATGTATTCTAACAGCAAAATTAGAGAAAATGGCATTATTTGAGGATAGCCTTTAAAAGATGTTAGTTTGTACTAGTGATTTATAAATAAAATATATAATATGTATCACTTTAAAATATACTATTAAATATGTTTATATATATTTATATATTATATATACTTATACATATTTTACATGTTATAATATTATTTTAAATGCATATACTTCAAATAAATTACCTTGCTTCTGTTCACAATTCACAGCACAGCCTAAAATGAGCTGAAGCATCCTTCCGAGCTCTGCAGCATCAGAATGCTCCCCAATAAGGTTCACATCAGGAAGGGTGAAGTCATTAATTTGCTGCCCTAAAATCTAAATAGAGATAAAAGGATTAGATTTGCATTTACATCTATAGGACCAAATAAAGTATCCGATAAAGACTAGATTGTCGGCAACAGAATCTCACTGCGAAGGACAGAGCTGTCATGTCAATCTCACTCCGGAGTTCCTTTTAAAAATATATATATATATTTTATTGATTTTTTACAGAGAGGAAGAGAGAGAGAGAGAGAGAGAGTTAGAAACATCGATGAGAGAGAAACATCGATCAGCTGCCTCCTGCACACCTCCTACTAGGGATGTGCCCACAACCCAAGTACATGCCCTTGACCGGAATCGAACCTGGGACCTTTCAGTCCGCAGGCCGACGCTCTATCCACTGAGCCAAACCGGCTTGGGCCGGAGTTCCATTTTTACCCATACACCTAAGTTATAACTATCTTGAGTCACAGCAAGTTAGGCCCCAATCTGGTATATGGTATGTACACTTAGCAAAGAAACTGAGTACTACTGACCCCACTCCCATCCCCAGAAAACCTGGATGTGTGCACTCTGAAGTAGAGCCAGTGAGGTTCTGACCCAGGGGCACCAGGAAGAGTGGAGACTAAATATAGGTTCATGTCCCCAGTGGTAAGATTCCTCCTAGCCACCTTCACCTATTTGACTCCAAAATGCTGATAGCATGACACCTGTACCAGGAAGGAGAACAGAAGATTCCTTTCCGGGGAAATAAGAGTGATCCCAAAGGAAATGACTTATATGCAGACAAGTGGGTGGGTCTCTGACTGATAACCCTACAGTGAAAAATGAAGATCCTAAAAGCACAGAAGCAGGATGAATGCGGCTGCAGTGTTATGGGTTAGGGGAGAACAGTGTAAAGGAAGTTAGACAGGTCATGCAGTACCTGGCGGCTCACAGTAAGAAGTAAGGATCTGATTCTCAATGCAATAGGAAACCATGGAAGACTTTGAGGAAAGAATGACATAATCAAATTTATATTTTAAAAAATCATCCTGGCTTTAGAGTGGAGAACAGACTACGTGGCAAGAGTGAAATCAGGGTCACCAGTTGACCACTCTAATAATCTAAGCAAGCGCTAATAACGACAGCTTGGTATAGGGTGGTAGCAGTAGAAATAGAAAAAGCTGTAATTTGGAGGCTTAACTAATAGGTTTTCCTGACGATCTCAAAAGAAGGAAAGGACTATAGGGTGATTTGTAGGTTTTGGGTTCGAGCAGTAGGATGGACGGTAGAGTCACATACTGAGATGATGAAAGTAGATGATGTAAGTATAAATGTAGATATAAATGCAAGTAAGCTTGTGAGGGAAAAAAAAACAGTAAGGAAATCACATAGGTTTTTAAGCTGTGTTATGTCCACTACAAATTTAAGGTAAAACTAGTTCCACAGCCTGATTTCATCTCCCCACCCCCAACAATGTCTTGACTATTCTGATGCAGACTGAGAAGATAAACTGAGTTAATCAAGGGAGGGGGTTTCACTAAGGAATACAGAGGAAGTACATAAGGGTGTTGATTGTAATAATGCATGGACTCTAAACCACATTCACAAGTAAGGGAAGAAAGGAGAGAATAAATAGATGCAGAGAGCAAGGTTTAACATAAATTAGTATTTACCTACAAATTATTCATATTATAGTAAAAACTATCCAGGAACCATATAATATGGTTGTTGAAACCACATCCTAGAAACTATGGAAGATAAACTGATTGTTAATTTTTCCTTTACTTAAAACTATTACAAAATTAAATTATCCTATAGTAATATTTCCAAGCAGAATGAGAAAAGTCTTTACCTCATGATTATAATCCAGGATTCCTTTTAAAATTTTCTTTAGATTGCTTATCTGTTTAAAGAAAGAAAAAACAACTGGATAAATCAAAAAACAGTTTAACAAAAAATTTCTAAATCAACTAATCAAACAAGTTAATCATAAAGTAAATATAAAAAAGAAAATTTAATAGCATATTTGAATTACCATCATCATCAAAAAAGGACTCTTGATGGTCTAATTTATTTAATCTAAGATATTTATGTAACAAATTAAAACTTCCAATAATATTAGAATTTCAATATTATGACCAAAATTGGATGGTGAGTGAGATTTAACAGTAAGATTAAATTATTCAAATTTTCTGCAGCTAAAGAAAAAATGTACCATCCTTAATGAAGACTTAAGTTCAGTGCTGTTTTCCATAGAAAAATGGAGTTGCATCTTACATGGAGGTTAAGTTCTACCAGTAAAAGCATTAGGTTGCCTTAACCAGTTTGGCTCAGTGGATAGAGCACTGACCTGCAGACTGAAGGGTCCCAGATTCGATTCCAGTCAAGGGCATGTACCTTGGTTGCAGGAACATCCCCAGTAGGGGGTGTGCAAGAGGCAACTGGAATCACTGATCGCTGCCTTCTGCCTGCCCCCTCCTGCGGATACAGCCCACAGCCCAGGCATGTGTCTTGACTGGGAATCCAACCATGACCTCCTGGTTCACAGGCTCATGCTCAACCACTGAGCCATGCCAGCTGGGCTACCTTGGAAATCTCTTAAAGTAACCTATTTTTTTAAGAGCCATATTTAAGAGCCATAAAGTTAAAAAGTAATATGGTTATATCTTGAAATGCTAGGATAACACTCTGCATTGCAAGATACTTGTGCTGTAAGAAGCAACCTAGAAACAGAAAGGATGAGAGACCAACATACAGATGTCTCCCAACTCCAGAAAACAGATCCAATGGACATGTTTTCTGGGTGAAATGACAGACAGAATCACCTGCACTGTTTATTGTAAGCATTACTTTTTCCTCTATTTTTTTTTTTTTTACCCAAGTCCTATGATTGGCATTTGTGTTAAGTTAAATGTGCATATAATATGATTCTGTCGATCATCACTTAGCTGTTCCTAGCCAATATTAGTAGTTGAGGATGTCCTAGGAGGCAGCAGAACCTGTGACCATAAAATAAAAGAGGCTGAGTCATGGCAATGTGATCCAATGGTTAACCACAGACACTTTTAATTAAAAACAAAACAAAGCAAAAAAACCCTGAAAACTTTATTTGAAAAATTTTTCACATATAAACTAATGTTTATACTTCTAGTATAACCTGGAGACATGAAAAATATATAATGCTAGAGGCTGGTGCATGACATTTGTGCACTGGGGTGGCGGGGGGGTGAGGATAGGAGTCCCTCAGTCTGGCCTGCACCTTCTTGCCATCCAGGACCCCTCAGGATGTCCGCTGAGGGGTCCCTAGCTCTGCCAAAGAGACGGGAGAAGCTCTCGCCACGGCCGCCGCTGCATTTGCCAGCCATGAGCCCAGCTTCTGGCTGAGCAGCGCTCCCCTTGTGGGAGCGCACTGACCACAGGGGGGGCAGCTCCTGTGTTAAGCATCTGCCCCTGGTGGTCAGTGCAGTTATAGCAACTGGTCGTTTTGCTGTTTGGTCAATTTGCATATTAGGGTTTTATTATATAGGATACTTTATTTCCTTTATTTTAGTAGGTTCATTTTTTTCATATTTGAACATTTTAAATTAGAATGCCTTAAAAAGGCAATGTGTTCACTGGCCTTGGCTGGGTAGCTCAGTTGGTTAGAGCAGCAGTCGCCAATCTTTTGGACCTCAGAGACCACCAGTGGTCCGCAGAGCAACGGTTGGCGACCACTGGGTTAGGGCATCGCCCCAAAATGCCAAGGTTGCAGGTTTGATCTCCAGTGAGAGCACATACAAGAATCAACCAATGATACATAAATAAGTGGAACAAGAAATCAGTATTTCCTTCTCTCTCTCTCTCTCTCTCTCTCTCTCAAAATCAGTCAATAAAATTTTTAAAATCAATGTGTTGATGTCAATTATATTTCCTAATATTTTCTCATTATTAACACTAGCGATTACCATTACATATTCCACGCACTATCCTAAGTACATTACATACATTAACTCATTTATTTCTATGAAGTGGATTCTATCACAATACTCATTTTACAAATGGGGAAACAGGCATAGAAAAGTTAAAAGACTTTCCCACAGATAGTAAATGGCAGAGCTGTGATATGGACATAGGTACTCTGGCTCACTTTACTACTTTCCATTATATTTTAGTGAGCAATTTCAGGTTACCTCCAATCTTCAAATCTAGATTATTTTACTAAAGACTACCTAAGTGTCTAAAGCTCACTGAACACATCTGATCAAAAATCAACAAATTCTATATACACCAAGTAAAAGATTAATTTACAGATAGAAAAAAAGAAAATACCTTTAGCCTCCAATTATCTCCCACTTCGGATTTGATTCTGTTTAGCCAATTTTCATCAAAATATACAGGATCTCTAAAAATAAGAAAAAGCTAGCACATTAAGATCATGTAGCTATCAAGCTAAAAACAAACAAAAAAGAAAATTGAAACTCATGCCATATCACCACTTAATTGCAACATAAAAATGTATTTGCCACATATCAGTCATTGAATAGCTCAGTACATGAGACCAGATACAATTATAGATTTCTCTAAAATCAATTTGACTGTTTTCAGCTCATTAAAAAAATACATATTTTATAAAAACTAAAAGATAAAAAAATAACATAGTTATTATAGTTTAAAAACAAATTACAGCTAAATACACTAACTTGGAATTAACATAACTTGTAGACACCACACTAATATGTAAAATTTAAAATAGATGTAATTTTAAATAGACAAAGGAAATATACTATTAAGGTTAAAATAAAATTTTCAACTAATATTTCAATGACCTCCATCATTTAATACTTCAAATGCCACCAATACTGTCTCTAAAATGTCAATTTTTTAAAAAAATGTAAACTGAGAACCTATTTTCTCAGATAGAATACTAGGTTTTAGACAAAGTTGGACACCATTCTTATTTGCAAAAGGCTTAACATCTAAGATAACATTGGTGTGGACAAACAAACTGAAACAAGGACAGAACCTGAATACACTTATGGCTATTTTTCTTAGGAAAAATCTCCCAACACTAGAAAGAAAGAAAAACAGAACAAAACTTTTTAACCCAGCATGATCCTCATTTCAAAGGTTCTGAAACTGATGCTCTAAGAAATTATTTGTTCAAGAACACAGAATGTTTGTCTGTGCTCTTGTTCACTGCAGTGCTGCCCAATACCTCTTGTCTGACACATAGCAGGTTCTCTATATTTGTGGACTGAAATGCAATTGGAAAGTGACAGCACATTCATTTAATAAGCTTCCAATCTACTACTTGGACAGAATATAGCGAGAAGAGTAGTTTACAGCTTTCTTATATTCGGTATGACTTTTCTTAGTAATAAACTTTGACTCACTATGCAAGAATCTAGCCATAACTCTGTTTTGATAAGTAGTTACAATTTCAGCAATGTTTTCTAAGTAGCTCTTAATTGATGCTCTCAGGCTAGGATAAAACAACATAAAAGTAATTTTCTCCAAAATCTCAAAAGATTGTGGTTCTGCACAGATATGGACATAACAACTGATAATCTTACTGGGAGTGTTCTTCATGAGTAAGGAGCTAAAGATAGCTATGTCCTGACTGCTGCTAAAAAAGAAAAAATGAAAAACAAAACTTACAAAACCATTTCCTTAGATTTTGCCAATACCAGCATATTTAGCTGTAGCTTATGTACCAGTCAAATGCCTTCAGAGAAAACAAAAAAATTAAATTTTATTTCTATTGCTAAAATTATTTAAACACTTCAATGTTCTTATTGAACTTACCCAAATTAAGGTGGGGTCTAAAACAAACACTGTATTTTTATTCAATTCCTTAGTATGGCATTTTTATCAGCAAACCTTAGTATTTTTATAGATATTTTGTTTCTTAAGTCTATTTTCTTTTAATTACATAAAAAATATTTTGGTTCCTTGCCATTAAATGTTTATTGGAAAGTTAGCTATACCCAAGGGTAATGGAAGCATATGTCTGCACAAAGATTTGCACACTGATGTTCACAGCAGCTTTATCTGTAATAGGTCAAAACTAAAATAACTCAGATGTTTATCAGCAGATGAATAGATCATTCAACAGCCATACAATGGAATATGTGCAAACTATAAGTACAGGCAAAAACACATATCCCTAAATAATTGTGCTGCACGAAAAAAGCCACACCCCTTTCCTCAAAAAAGAAAATATACTGTCCATTGATATAAATTTCTAGAAATTGCAAATGAGTCTATAGTGATAAAAAGGGAAGGCAGGAAGGAGGGAATGAAGAGATTTAAAAAAAAATTTTAGAGAGAAAGAAAGAGGGGGGAGAAAGAGAGAGAGAGAGAGAAAGAAGAAGAAGAAGCAGCAGAAGAAGAAGAACAAAACATGGATTTCTTGTTCCACTTATTTATGCATTCAGTGGTTACTTCTTGTATGTATCCTCACCAGGGATTGAACTTGCAACCTTGGCATATAAGGATGACACTCTCTAACCAACCGAGCTACCTGTCTAGGGCAAGGAGACTTTCCAAAGTGACTGATATGATCATTATCTTGACTGTGGTGGAAAGTTTCATGGGCATCTACAAGGTAAAAATCTATCAAATTCTATACTTTAAAAATGTGCAATTTATTGAATGTCAATTTAATTTCAATAAAGCTTTGAGAAAAAGAGGGTGGGAAATGCTAAAAGGAAATGAACTATCAAGCCACAAAAACACAGGGAAGAACCTTAAAGGCAATACTGCCAAGTGAAAAAGAAGCTGACAAAGAAAATTCTGAGACGTGCTAAATTCAATTACAACAGGTCAAAGGGTGGAAGGAAAAGACAAGAAGGGGTTAACCAATTAACCACTGCAGTGCAAAAATGAGAAAAGATTGTTCACATGCCTTAGCGTATGTTGGAATTATTAAATTGCATGTAGAACATAATGGTTTATGATCTTCACTTGTTAAATCAATACAGTCTTTCTTCTGGTTTCTTCAAGTGAGAGAAATCCTAACCAAACTAACTTAAACAAAAAATTCAGCTACTGACACATACCTGGAAAGCTCACTTAGCTATGTCCACAAATAATTTTTATTAAGAACTTCAATGAAACTCTCTAGACCTTTCAAAGGCTAAAAGTTAATAGGGCACCACTCAGAGGTGACATGATAATCACAAGATCACTCCGGTCAGGTCTCAAATGAGCCTTCTTGAGCTCCATCAAAAAGTGTGTGTGCCTGTAGAGCTGGAAAGATGTGCTATGTAAGTTCCACAAGAAAGCAATAGCAAACTATAGTTTTCAATCATGAGTCCCTAATGCTAACGGCACACAGAAATGCTAAAGGCACTCAGAGTCACTGGAGCTGCTTCTCATTCGGCAACTGTATAAGGCTCACTCTAAGGTGAGCAGCAGCAAGAACTCATTTAGTGATGACACTGGTTCTCAATAGAAATGCAGGAAATCCTCATTAGTCATTTGTAAACCTTTTAATATCATCAGGCTGACAAGTGTTCAGGGCTTCAGAAGACAAAAGTATCCCTCAAATTGCATCAAACCTAATGAATTCTTAAATTCACAGGTAATCCTTTATTTGAAAAATTCCCAGGTCAAAAGTTGAAGAGAGCCATACAACCATTATGTTTTCAAAGTACTTAGAAGGAAACAATCAGGTATGTTTTATATAACCCAAATAAATATTTTATTCCCTTGGTCATTCAGTAAACATGAGCATCCATCATGCAGATTAAACCATAAGAAATTGCTGCTATTTGACCATTTTTGATCTACAAAAAAAGGTCATTTTCATATGGCCCAACCAAACACCAGGCATTGCCGTAGGTTCGAGGACACAACAGTCATCAAAACAAATACCCTGCCTCTAGGTGGAGTTCACAGTGTGTGTGTGTGTGTGTGTGTGTGTGTGTGTCTCTGTGTGTGCGCATGCGTGCAGCAAATAACAAATAAACAAGCAAATACATGGCGTATCAGGTAGTGCTAGCATACTTTGTAGAACAATGCAACGGTTAAAAGGGATAAGAGCTTAGGGGGATGCTTGTTGCTTATTTCACATGGGTAGTCAGGGAAGACCTTACTGTTACATTTCAGCATTATTGCTAGGAGTGAGTCTCCGAGATTCTTCTAGGATGGCAAAATCTGGTTACTAACATAAAAACTTCTGCCAAACTTATGCACAAGAACAAATAATTCTGCTAAAACCATTGGAGTATTATAACTATTACAGCCCTAATTAAACTTGCAGTCAATCTGTAACTAAACAAGTACATGCCATCAGAAGTATTACTGCTGCTTACAGTTCTTATATAATGCACAACACACGTCATGTAAGCACTTTATTTTTTTGTCCATGTCTTCAATCTAACCACATATCCATGTATAAGAGCATACAAAGAGATAAAGCAGTTTATTCTTACATTTTTTGAAGAACCTGGGCCATCACAACCCCACTCGTTAAATCTTCCACAGTCTGGCATGGTGCATCCACATTAAATGTCTGGATCTGAAGGGAAAAAAAGATTCCATAGTTAAGTATACAGAAGACTTCGTAGGCTTCTTTTTGTGAGTACCACATCTTGGGAGTTGTAATAAACTGCATAAGGCAGAAGAGTTGGAAAGATTTTCCCTTATGGGAAATTTCCTGCAGGTTATTATTGTAAATTTTTCCCTTTGGCAAAAGAGAAATTCTGGAGGACACTGGGTGTCTTCTCAGCATCCATTCTACTCACAGATGATCAATCAAAGATCTGCTCTACCAATGACTGACTTAGGGATGTATTAATAAGGCAAAGACAATTTGGATCAAAGAGATGCAAGGAATGCTTACTTGAACTTCTGGGAAAGAACAACCAATTTCCTCTTGATGTGAATAAATATGTTGCCTCCACTGTCACTAGCAGTCACTTTGTGGCTATTAAGGGAATCCATCTCAGGATGAGGCCAATGCAGTGGAGTGCAGAGAAAAGGTTTAGAAAAACTAAGTCCTGGAGGCCAAAATTAAGCCACTACCTTAAAAAACCTTGAAGTCTCCTATTATGTGAGACAGATCTCTTGTTTAAGCCTGGCCAGACTGAGATTCCTTTTACTCAGCCAAAAATATGTACACAAATGTAGAAGTCACACTACGGTTAGGTTAGATATTCAATGCACTTTTATTTTATTTTTTTAAAATATATTTTATTGATTTTTTTACAGAGAGGAAGGAAGAGGGATAGAGTTAGAAACATCAATGAGAGAGAAACATCGATCAGCTGCCTCCTGCACACCCCCCCACTGGGGATGTGCCTGCAACCAAGGTACATGCCCTTGACTGGAATCGAACCTGGGACCCCTCAGTCCGCAAGCCGACGCTCTATCCACTGAGCCAAACTGGTTAGGGCAATGCACTTTGATTTCAAATGTACTCTGAATTAGAACTAACCGTGTACTAGTCAACATGATATGGCCAAAAAATAGTAGATATTATTTCCATGAGTAAGATAATACAGCTGAGCCAGCAATGATTACAGCCAGCAGCTCAGCCAGGACTTAGAAGGAAATAAATCACTGAGGACAGACAGATACAGGCCACGCTCTCACACTTTATAGTTTAGTAAAATGACAGAATTAAAGGAAATGCAAACTGCAAGCACAAAGTTTAGAAGTGAGAGTGGGATGCAACCTAGGAAAGAAAAGAAGCTTAGTATGGATGGGGTGGACCCTGGAGGAAGAGATAGCACAGGGAAAAGAGCAAAATGGTGAAAGACAAGGTTAAAGGGGAAGCATTATTGTGCAAAACTTATTTATCCATGTTAGGACTTGATCCTAAGAGCAATGGGGAGTAAGCAGCAGAGTGAGGTCAGGCGATCTGCATTTTACAGGGGTGGGCAAAAGTAGATTTATAGTTGTTCATAGGGAAAATACAATAACAAATAATAATAGAAAAATAAATTCTGTTTTGCGTACTCACAACTGTAAACCTGCTTTTGCCTACCTCTGTATAAAGACCATATGATTCTATTGAGAATCAGTATCATCATTAAATGAATTCTTGCTGTTGCTCACCTTGCAGTGACCTCAGAAATTAACACATCTGTCTTCACACACATTTTTATTGATTGGATTATATGTCTACAAGATATTTCAGGATAACAGTACAATGAAACTTAAATATAATTGCACCTAACTGCATTAAGGCGTAACATTCTACCTGACGGGCCGTAACCTCTCTTTTAATTCCAAAAAGCCATTTTAACACCACCTAATCTCCACATCACCCTCCCCCACAAAAATGTGAGAAGAGTAAAGCATGAGATCACCTGGAATTAGTGTTTCTAGAGCAGAGGTTCTCAACCAGGGCAACTTTACTCCCTATGAGACATTTTTGGTTGTAACAACTAGATGGGTGCTATTGGTATCTAGTAGGTAGCAGCCAGGGATGCTACTACTAAACATCCTATAACGAATGCACAGGCAGAGACTACAACAAAGAACTATCCAGTCCAAAACGTTAATAATGCTAAGATGAACAAACCCTGCTGTAGAGCTGTGGTTTTCAAAGTGTGGTCAGGCCCCAGGCTACTAATGATAGCATCACCTGGAAAGGTGCTGGAAATGCAGAATATCAGTTCCCAACCCAGACCTACTGAATTACAAACTCTGGACATGGAGCCTTGCATTCAGTGTTTTAACTTCAATGAAGGTGATCAATACTAAAGCATAAGAGCCACCTCTTAGA